AAAATCTCAACTTGTTTCTGCAATCAATAATTTCAGTGAAAATTAATATTTCCCAAGAAAATGCACTGGTATATGAATATTACTAAAATACACAAAATTGTTTGTAAAATTATTCAATTTTAGTACAAACAAAACAAGAATAATAAGCTTCAAACTGGAAACAATCAGTATAGAGAAATGAGTAACTTGGAAATTCTCATCTTCAGATTGAGAGTGGAATGCCAACTCCAGCTCAGATGTAGCATCCAATATAGTTACCACAACAGATTTCCTTACAAAATTACCAAACGAATGTGCCCTAAAGCTCAAATGTGGATAGGTGGGAGGAAGGTTAAGTTTAAACTTCTGCTCATCATCATAATCCAACGGGAAGTTCACCAGTTGTAGTTCTGAATCTTTATATTACAAAAACTCAAATGCCCCAATACAATACGTCGTTTGAAAATTAATCAGCCAATCTAACATAACTGTTAATTTAGCAACCTCATGTTTTGTTAAGTGGGAAAATCTCACATTGAGTATAAAAATAAAAAGCTTGTGGGTTAAATACAAGGAAGGCCACTCCACCTATTGCCAATTGGTTTTAGGTTGGATGCAAATCTTGTGTTGAGCCTACATGCACAATTTTCACATGGTATCAGAGTCTAGATTCTGTCTTGGAAAGCCCGTTGTTAACTCACCTGACAAGACCCGAAGTTAAAGATATTGGGCCTGCATTTAAAAAGGGGCGTGTTAACCCACGTGACAAGACCCACCTGCATTTAAGGGAGCGTGTTAACCCATGTGATAAGACCCAACATTCATAGCGGACCTGCACATGAGGGGGCGTGTTGAGTGGGAAAATCCCACATTGAGTATAAAAGTAAGAAACTTGCGGGTTAAATATAAGGAAGGCCACTCCACCTATTGCCAATTGGTTTTAAGTTGGATGCAAGTCTTATGTTGAGCCCACATGCACAATTTTCACATGGTATCAGAGCCTAGATTCTATCCTCGGAGGCTCATTGTTAACCCACCTAACAAGACCCGAAGTTGAAGATACCGGGCCTAAATTTAAGGGGGCGCGTTTATCCACGTAACAGGACCCATCATTCATAATGGGCCTACATGTGAGGAGCGTGTTAAGTGAGAAAACCCACATCGAGTATAAAAATAAGAAACTTGTGGGTTAAATACAAGGAAGGCCACTCCACCCATTGCCAATTGGTTTTAAATTGGATGCAAGTTTTGTGTTGAGTCCACATACACAATTTTTACATGGTATCAGAGCTCAGATTCTAGCCTGAGAAGTTCGTTATTAGCCCACTTGATAGGACCCAAAGTTGAAGATACTTGGTTGCATTTAAGGGGACGTGTTCATCCACGTAACAGGACCCGACATTCA